AACCCCCAACCCCGGCCGCGCAGAACAGCAACAGCTACTGCTACAGCAAAAGCTAGGAGTAGAAGCCCAAAGACGGCCTGTCCCACCCCGTGGGCGAGGGCGCAGTTACTCAGACTGCGGCGCGCTGCCCCCTGCGGTTCCTGCGCTACCTGGAAATTCAGTATTGGCTCTCCAGATTTTGCTCCAAAGCCTCTGTCTCAAAAGCTTGCAACTAAACCCAATCCAAAACCCCAAAGGCGGTTGAAGTTAGGCAAAAAAAAAAAGAAAGAAAGAAAGAATTTCAACTTAAATGAGGCGTTTCAACTTCCACACACCCACCCTCGCCCCTTAACATCTTAACTCAGTTTCTTGTCACCCGAAGGACTCAAATCAATCTCCCCCTAGTTCTGTCCGGGAGGAGGTGACCGGCTTTGCCGGTGCCTGGAGCGTGAGAGCTGGAGAGGCGGAGCAGGGGGAGGTGTGTCTTTATAAACCTGCGGGCAGCTGCCAGGCGCTGACGCCGCCGCCGAGGGCAGACCTTTCAACACCGCGGCCGGGAACAGGGGTCCCCCGGGTCCTTAACTTCTGGATTTCCCAAACCTCTCTCTCTCTCCCTCACTCTCCCCACACACACTGTCTTTCTAAAAAAGGGTGGGGCAGGGGGAGGGTCATCTTTCGCACTTCTAGGTTTGTTTTCTTCTATCTTTCATGATCCTTGCCGGAGACTGCTAGTGAGGTGGGCAGATGCCGATGGAAGCACAGCAGAGGGTGAACTGTGTGCACTCCTACGGGATGAAGCTCAGTTGGGATATCAACGATCCGCAGATGCCTCAGGTGCGTGACACCCGGCGTGGCGCTGTCCATCCAAAGAAGAGGGGGTAGCATTCAAGTCCTTGCAAAGACTGGACGGACCCCAGCCCCACTCCAACACACACACACACACACACACACACACACACACACACACACACACACCCGAGAGACCTCAGCTTTAGAGTGAGTGACTCTGCAAAGGGCAGAGTTGGATTTAGAGATGTTTGTTCCCCCAGTTCTTTCCTTACGCTTGTTTAAAAATACACGGAAAGTCGTTCCCAATCTTCTGGGAAGAGCAGGACGCCTCATCCCTCACTTTTCTTTAACTAAGGTAGCAATCAAGTGATTCCTTATCCATTCTTTGAAATCATGAAAAATGTAGGGGAAAATCTTACCGAATGTAGGTACGCTGCTTCTCACGCAGCAAAACAGTGAGATAGTACTGTAAGTAGCAGTGACCTGAATCTGAAACAGATAGCACTACTTGGGCAATTTATTCAGACACTCTAGGCTGCTTGGATAAAGCACAGCTCTTAGGAAGTTTCATAGACATGCTGACCAGGGAGCCTCTGCAATCTGGATTTTGGAAATAACGTCTGAACTTATTTCTATAATGACAAGGAAATCACCATCTTTCTAAGGTAGATTTTTTTTTTTTTTTTAATGGAACAAAGTGGTTTGGAGCCAAGTCCAGGGAATGAGCTTGGCAGTTATGCTTGATCACTGATTTGGAGGAAAAACTGAGGAGTGACTTCCAAGTCTTGTGTGTATGTACCTGG